AGTGAATGAGATGTTCTGGTTTAAGAGGCACTGCGTGGTTTCTTTCAGTGAGGGGAATGAGAAATCCTACCAGCTGCTGAGAGACTCTCTAGACCTCTACCTCACTATCAACCCAGATAATGTGCAGTACCTGCTGCTGCAGGCCCGGCTCTACTTCCACCTGGGCATCTGGCCAGAAAAGGTGAGGACGCACAACCTTATAAAGTATTAACTGTCATTCAGTACAAAGCACTTACTATACACCCCTAAGTATTTCACCCAACTGCACTGTCCATTGCTGTTTGTCCTCTGTCCCAGGTGCTAGACATCCTACAGCACATTCAGGCATTGGATCCCTCCCAGCATGGGGCAGTGGGTTACCTGGTGCAGCACACGCTGGAGCACATCCAGCACAAGAAACATCCCGCTACGCCTGAGGTTAAGAAGCGTAGCGCTCCAGAACACCTGGAGGTCCAGTATTCAGTCGGCCTCATCATGAAACACAAGAGGTGGGTCACACTAACGTTTAGTACAGCAGTCCTCCTCTCTGTTAACACATCTCTTACTAATACTCTTAATGCTCAAGTGTATCCGTCCTGTTTTATCTCTTTCACCAGGTCGGGTTATAACTGTGTGATCTACGGTTGGGACCCAAAGTGCACCATGAGTCAGGAGTGGATCACCACGATGAGGGTCCACCAGCTGTCCAACGGGGCCAACCAGCCTTTCTACAACGTCCTTGTACAGGATGGAACATGTCGCTACGCAGCACAGGGTACGGATCATATACATTTACATGGTTGGGAAAAATATCCTCATGATGAATTAATGGTTTTCAGGTTGTGAGATGATATTTAAAAAAATAAATTATCATAAATATGTATGAGTTTGATTAATGCCCCTGGGAAGGAATATATCATTGCACCCTCCAGGCAGCAACTACTAATAAAAGAGATGAAATAGGCTAAAAAAACTGAAGATTTGTCATAGTCACAAAGTTCACGATTGTGTATTTTACTGTTGCAACCAGGCATAACAAAAATTGCATTTCTGAGGGTCACAAGCTAAAACTGCTGAGAACTACCACCTACCTACCTCTAATGACACAAGCTTTTTGCACCTGCTGGTTACTAGGGAGAAAATGTCATTTATAATGCAGCCACTCAATTTCATATCAAATGATTAATAGCTTTCATTTTAGTTGCAGATATGGTAAACTTGGAGCACATAACTAACTAACATGTTATCTACTAAAAACATAAAAAGGGAGCTGATAGTTGATCAGACGAGCAGTCGTTATCACAAACAATAGAAAAGATCAAAGTCTCATACAAACACAGAGACAAAGTGTTACATGGGCAATTAAGCTGGAGGTAATAAATCCAGTGGTATGTACTTGCACAATGGTGCCTTGTTGGACGTGATGGATAATAGAAACTTCCTGCTTAATTTACAGGTCCCCTCCTTAAACAACAATCTTAATTATTTTTGCAGCATTTTGCTTTTGAAACTAATGTTGCTCCATAAGGCTTAATGATGTCATATTAGAAGTGCTATTTGATGTTCATACTGTATATGTTGATCCAGGAGTACTGACTATGCATTATTCAGCAAGACTAACGGTAAAAGCCTACAAGCAAGGCGAATAGTTCAGTGGTGCTGCATCATATGGAAGCATATTTTATTCAGTTGAAAAAAATTCTGCTCTGTTTTTCTGAATTAATGAGATACCCCCAGCACGTCTGAACCTAATCTATATCCTACATCCAGCCTCCAGCAAGTTCCAGTGGGCCCTCATCACTCATGTTACTCTACTATTCTGTGGTTTATAAGTTTGTTTGCAGACTGGAGTCTCTGTTAACAGTGACACATTTCTCGCTCGCGTCCAAATGTACCCCCCACTGTGACTTCCAGGGTCTTCCAGCCCCCTGCGGGCCCATGCAGCGCTCTGTGTCCCCTAGCCCTAAACCTACTCTGCTGGAGAAACCACGGCCAAGTGCCTTTTCTCAGCTGTTCTCTCATGTCCACACAACTGGGTGCAGGGATGCTTGAAGTCACAGTTGGTGGTGCACCTTGATGCAGGTGAGAGATGTGACCCACATCAGTTCATTATAATTTATAATAATGCATTGCAGCGACGATCCAGATATTTCATAGTGGAAACAAGCGTTTATAATGCATCTCTATATCCGTCTGTCACTATTAACACAGACTCTAGTCTGCAAATCCATACACTCCACTGATAAACCATAGAAATGTAACATTAAATATGTTTTAATGTTACCCAGTGAAGTCCCAGTGTCACACACGGGAGGACAGCCGAGAACAGGCACTTTGCTATGGGCACAAACCACACCTACCTACCTCCCTCCCTCCCTCTGGGTCTCTGCCGAGTTCCAGGGGTTAAAGGATAGTCGACACAGGGCCCTGCATGGGCCCGCTTGAGCTTGCTGGAGGCTGGACGTAGGAATTGGGTTAGGTTCATGGGGATAGGAGCCAGCCCTGGGCATGGAGAGCGTGCAGGAGGTATCTCATTAATTCAGAAAAAACTGGCATAATTTTAAAAAATTGTCTTTTCAAGTGAATGTAATACGCCTCCGGAGCATCATCCTTTTTTTTTCTTTTTTTTTTATTATTTTTTTTTTTTACATTTTCCCAACTTAAGAGAGCTCCTCCCTAATAGGCTGACTTGTATATTTCCTTACCTGCTTACTCGGTTGCTTCAGTCTGCTAATGCTACTGTTGATTGTATGTGTTATCTTTGCTCTCTCCACCACCTCAGTATTCACCTGTAGGCTCTGTTCTCTACAAACCCTGAGGAGGATTTAGTGTTGATCAATCTCTGTGCTCTCATCTGCTGCTCAGTCTGCTTTTCACAAACTGATGAGACATGAAAATAAATAACAATTGCCATTATCTTGATAAACTACGTATTTTAACATGTGAGTTGTGTGTTTGTCTTTCTTCACCTCAGTTTAACCGATTTAGGTCACCTTACGTACATTACATTTATTATGTATTACACGTACATTATTATCAGAATGTCACACGTTTGCATTGTTGTTCCCCAGAGAACCTGGAGCCCCACTCATCTCCCCTGGAGATCGGCCACCCGGAAGTGGGGCGCTACTTCTCTGAGTTTACTGACACCCACTACGCTGCCAACGAAGAACTGCAGACGCGATACCCGGAGGACATGGATGAAACTTTGGGCACGGTGCAGGAGCTTTACCACAGACTGACACCCGGCGCTGGGAACCAGGACCAGGCTCCTGCCACAGACCAAAACAACCACCAAGCCATGTCCATGTAGCATGGTAGCAGTGTCCAACATTCTGCTGACCCCAGCTAACCAATTACTGATCACCCATTCTTAATTCACAGTCCACTTAGCTGATGCTTTGTTGCACGTACTCATGACCAGGACAAGTGTAATGGACGCGTTTTTGTACAAATTAGCCAGAATACAGTATTTTCAGTAAGTGTAACAAGAAACGGTTTACAAATGTGGTTTTGTACCATAGTCAGGATTCCTTGCATGTCTGGAAAAGTGTGGTTAAAAAAACATGCAGCAAACATAGTTACTCTTTCAGTACATATATTTAAATACCACAGTGTATTGGTTGGGAAAACAAAGCTCAGACTATGGAGTGATATGCCCCAGTTGACGGTCATCATCCAGGATGCAGGATCTTCAGATCCACTCGCAAAGTTGATTTTGGAACAAGTGTGGAAACCCACAATAAGGCATAAGAAGACGTCTTGAAGAAAAAAAGAAAACAGACTTGAAGTTAATACTAAAGTGGATGAGTAAGTTTAGGATGTGTGTCCAGTTGCTGTAAATCCTCCTTTACTAACAACCAAGGAATGCCCCTTTACCCAGAGCTCCCCAACCCCTGACCACACCTCCCTGCACCCAACACCAGACAAACAAGTCCCCCAGCATATAGTCCAAACCCCCAGTCACAGTGCCACACCTAAGACCATAAAGAAAAGACTTTGTAAATTGACTTTTAATTCCCCATCTTTTAATCAAGTTTCATGCACTTCTGGAAGTTCAACTTTCACATTTCTAGATTATGTTGTTTTTGTTTTTTTCCTGTATATTTACAAGTGAAACATGTAGGATGTTACAGCTCATCAGTGTTGAGCTATTCATAGAAAAAACAGAAGAACCAATAATGGCACTGCTCACTTGAAGCTGAAACTGCAAAGAAATAATAATAATAAAGCGTTTCAAGTTTTTTTTTTTTTTTTTTTCCTCTCTGACTTATTGTACTGAATTGAATGTCATACCAGTTCCTTTATTATTGTATTGCGCAACACTAACCAGGATTTACTGCAGAAAACAGACGAGAAACCGGAAGACAACAGGTCAACAGCCTCGAGCTGTGTGGATTTAGGACCTTGGGGAAGCCAGATGTTTCCAGCCTGCCAGCAGCAGACTGCTGTTGCGCTGACCCGCCGATAGCAGCGCGATAAAGCCGCAAAAGTTGAGCCCGTCGGAGCAGATTGTGCGTCCTGACGCACCGGCGGAACAGCAGCGATGGGAGCTTCACAGACGCGCTCCGAGCACAAGTACCAGGAGCTGGCCGATAAAACTGGATGTAAGTTTTTTTTTTTTTGTCCATGAGAACCTTCTTTTTTATATTAGAATTTATATAACTGCCGATTCAGTGTGCGGTTCAAGGTGGAAAAGTGGTGGCGCGGTGACAGATTGTGTACGTAAAGGAAATGAAAATGATACAGACTTAAATAGGAACCTGATCATTGTACCAAGTTCTAACGAGTGTTTATTAACATTTTGATAGTCAGCTGATATGATTAGTGAACGAGGTAAACTCAAATTATGTAAAGCACCACCAGTTGGACAAATAAATGCAGTATTAGCTTTAAATGTAACCAGTTGTGATTTAGCGCAACATGCTGTAGTTGTATTAAACTATAACACGACTACATTTTTAGTAAACTACACAAACAATCCATCCTGGAGAGTTAACTATTTTTCTTTATACTACATGCATTCATTTGTCTAGTCCTCTGAAACAAAAAGCAGACAAACAGCAGAAGTGTGTAGATCTATTTTTAGATAGGGCAGGATCTTGATGTGAAATCTGTGCATGCGGTGGCATGCAGAGTCTGAATAACATAGATATCAACCAACACTGAGCCCAACTTTATTGATAGTATACGGGTGAGACATTGAACTGTTTTATTGCTTTCGTTTCCATAAGGTGGGGCTTTGAACCTATACCTGTGGGCTCGGTGGGGGATTTTTATGGATTTATATGTTCTGGACACACTGATGAAATGTCTCATTGCAACAACAGGCCTGTCTCTGATGGTGGAGGACAGACCACAGACTGTTGTTGTTGTATTTGGCTAATTGGTAATTGTAGTTAATTGTGTGTTGCATGTGTTGATCCTGCACATGTACTGTCATAGTCACACTGCCCACTCTGAGCAACAAGCTTGTTTCTGCATGAGGTCTTAGTCTGTCTGCATATTCTTGCACCCCACACCCAGCAGCTAGGTTTGCTACTGCAAACATCCACTTAGCAGCCTCCGGTGAAGGGAAAAGTAGGTCAAAATAAACATAAGTGTTTACCGAAACAATAGAAAATGCCAAACCCGTCTTGATATGGGAGCAGGTAGAGCCAGATTATGACGTTGAAACCTTTTTAGTGTGTGGTCACTGGTGCACACAGTGAGTTAATGATTTAAGGAACACTTTGAAATGGCATAAAAAGACAATCCCCACCAGTGCAAAGGGTGATTGTTTGCTTTGCCATTAAACTGATAGAGCAGCACCTGATCAGTTTAATAAAAATAAGTCTTTGTCTAATCATAATCCAATATATTAAATATCGAGTGATGAGGAAAATTAGTGATTGTATATTTTCAATAAGAACAATCTCATGTGTGCACCTTGGACATCCTTAAAAGACAATTGAAGGAGAGCAAGAGGCCTGTTGATGGGTGTGGAGTAATTATGGGTGTATCATCAACAGATGTGTTTTTAATCGCTAATGTACTGTTTTATATTGTTTTTTACGCTAGTTGATGTTCTTGTTTTCCTTCTTTTATGTATATTGTACCAGTGGTCTTTGAGTAATTCAGAAACAAGCGCTCTTAAGATAAAAATTTAATAATAGATAATTTATCGATTGATTATTTATTCATTCGAACATACTTTCATGTTGTTTTCAAGTTTCACTGGGAGGCAAGATTACAACACTTCGGAAAGATTCCAGCAGCTGAGTGGAAACTGAAGAGACATCTAAGGTAGAACATCGGTCAATACCTGCCACATGTGGCAAAGCTCTGCTGGTCAGGCTGAAATGTGGTTTGCCATTGGAACCATTTGGGCCTTTGCAGTCCGCCTGCTAAAGATACATACTACCTGTTGGTGGCTGTGCAGTGAGGGAATTGTGGGTGTTTCCTGGTATGCCTCTGCAGCAGACACAAACAAACGCAACATATGGTGACAGCGCGGGCCCTGACTGAATGGCAAAACCGCAGACACATTAGGCCAAATACCCCAATCATGTCGATGCATCCGGGCACAACCGAGATGGACACATAGTGTGTGCACACCACACTATTCAAGGTATAAAGCACACACACCACACGACCACACCAACAAGCACACACACACACACACACACACACACACAAAACTGTCAAAGTGGCATGCTGGTAGTGATAGATCTTCTGTTTAATAGAAGTTCTGTTTAATCTGTTTAAAAAGAAATGGGGAAGAATAGATTTACTGTTCATGTTACTTCCCATAAATAACAAATATTCTGTGTTATTGAGGCATGCTGGTACTGTAGTATCTGTTTTGTAATAATGAATCTTTCTCTTGTCGCACTGCAGTAGAGAAAACTTGGACAGCATACCCGCCCTTGCCAACAATCCAATCAGAAATCAAATCATTGAGGCATTCTTTGATAAAAGGTGAGTACAGTCAAGTTACACCACACTCTTATTTTTACTATCATGATATTATTTTGAATATATCCAAAACACTTAAACAAATGCTTAATATATAATCTGTCAAAAGTAAATGTCATTTTTGAAGTCATAATTATTAAAAAGTCATTCTGTCTAAGCAATACATTTCTGTGCGCAGGTTCTGTCTGTGCCTGCATGGGTTTTTCTCCCACAGTCCAAACACATGCATGTTAGGTCGATTGGCGACTCTAAATTGCTCTGATAGTCTGGTTTAATTGGCTTTACCTCTGCTTGTTTAGTCAAATTAAAAATTCCATTCAAACATGGATGATTGAAAATACCTACAGTATATTACAGCACTGGGATGGCTGATAATGTGGGGTTTCTGTTTCTGTTGCAAGAAACTGCAGCACAGAGCAGTGAAAACAAAACATGTAATCCATCCATTAACTAAAGGAGACAACACAGCTATAACACAGCTGTTGACATTTTAAAACCAGCATTTCCTCATATGTTGGAAAGCTCAGCTTAACAAGAGAAACCACAAGATGGACTGTCCAATAAACAAGCTATCCATGTGACTTTTGTTCACAAGCATGCAAGTCATTTGCACATCGGAAACCAAAAAGAGACCATATGCAAAAATACAGCTGTGAGGTTTTAGACTGATTGCACCCATAGAAACCAATAAACAAAATTTTTTTCAGGATTTTCACCAGGTAAATGTCGAGACAAAAATTATTGCTGAAACACAATACTTGTAATCTGCATATAAATGGTTTATTTACAATTTGGAAGCTTAAGAAAACACTACACACATAATGCCTAAACTTTGATTTCTGATGTCTGTGACACAGGAACCAGCATCAGAATGAGGTGGGCTCCTTCAACGAGATTGGCTTCGAGCAGTTCCTCATGGTCATGTCCCACTTCCGCCCTCCAACCTTGAAGACGACCGAGGAGGAGAAGGAAGCTTTAAGGAAAGAGAAACTTCGCTGTAAGACACTGCACTTCATTTTCTAATAACAACATTAGATAAAAGGGAATCAGATATACTTAAGATTCTTACGTTTGGAGCTCCAGCTGTTAGTCTAGAACCTTTCTCTCCTGTGTCTCCCTCTGCATGTCTCTACTATAAAATAACCAGGAACAAAGTGCACCACCCGGCGTAGATAACAATCAGTGAATCGGTATCTTATTTCAGTCACAACGGAAATGCCATAAACAGTGTGGTTATGCATAGCTGCCTGTGTGAGCACTGGATTCCTCACTGCATGTATGCTATTACACTGCAGAGGATTGTGCGTATCCATGGCTTGGCTAGGAATATGGCCAGAACAGCATCTTCTTCTCCTCAACGCAGTGTCAGAGCTAGAACAAACATCCTGGGTGGGCATGAGGCTTATAGCAGGGGGCACCAAGATGCTGGTACTCCAGCCAGTCCCTCCTCTGGCAGAAGGCAGAAATAAGAAAACATCTCTTCTTTCTCCCTAACAGACTGACCTGTTTAGACCCACCTTCCTCTAAATCATCCATGGTTGAAAATTTGAATTCCCGCTCAACTTGTAAAACATTACATAACAGCATTCTAGCTTTACAATGGTTTCCATTTACTACAATCTTGAGAAAACATTACATGCTTTTATGCAAGTGAGGGGGCACAGTGAATGAAATTGGGGGGCCCTGCCCACGTGTGCCCCCTTGTCGAGCTGATTCTGTCTCAACCTACCTACCTGTTATTCGTGACTTCCTACATATGTGTAGTAAACTAGCCTAAGACTTTGGCTACTGATACGGACATTCCTGAATGAATTTGTGTTTACTCAAATTAAAGCAAATTTACTGACACAACATAAGGCCATTGTTTGTATTGTTCGAAGTAAGATATCATTTGGGTATTTCCTCAGCTGACTCTTACCCTAAAAAAGCATGCTGTTTGAGCAAGTTAGAATCACGCTGTTTAAAGTTGGGACTACTGCACCTAACCCATACTGATGATAGAGTGTCATACTGTACATAAAGGAGAGAAAGTACATATAAAAAGTGCAGAGTGGACGGTACTAAATGCAGGTGGCAGGAGGGGAAAATTGGAGGGAACTAGTGCCAATTTTATCACCCATGTGTTAGCTGAACATCAAAACAAACAGGGTGGGTCTCTAATTGTAGCCACAGTCTTTCTCTAATTCTCTAATGGGCTGTAACCGTAACCTGCAATTTACTGTTAATATTTAAGACCACTGAACCTTTTTGTAGTACAGTGTTCTGGCCAGTAATGCACGAGACCAAGAAATCCAATCCAAATCCAATCCAATACCAAGGATTTCAAACCTCTGAGACATATTATGGAAAGTAACTAAGTACATTTGCTGTACCCTATATAGGCGCAATTCTGAGCAATTTGAACTTTACTTGAGTATTTCCATTCCATTCATTTATTTGTCAGCAATAGTTACACATATATAAGCTTATCATTTTATGTACAATTTGAATGAAGAGCAACTAGTGTGTGTGTGTGTATGTGTATGTGTATGTGCATTTCTCTAATATTTTACAAAAAAAGCAAAGATCAGAATGGATTTGAAAAGTAAACTAATTTGGGCTATACTCTCACAGCTTCCTAGTAGAATAAATGGAGTTGTGAGTTTAGATAGTAACATAAAAGCAGTGTGATCTCCAGGGTATGATAAAATTAGGGTTACTTCAACTTTTTGTGATTATGTGAATTTAAGAAAATATTTCATCGAAGTTTAACATTGTGAAGCAATGTGGTCTCGCTGCCAGCGCAGGGACATTTTCATGGGGGGAAAAACCCATTATAGCTCAAAAGCACAAGGATTTTGATGAAAGAGATTATTACCAGACGAGACTACAACCCGTGTCTGTCTCCTACAGTATCTGAAGACGGATCATGGCCTGCTTGGCTTCACACGCACATTTATCTGAATTGTGTTTCTCTGTCACCTGTTGTGTCAGTTTGTTTGTTTTCTTCTACCCGAGGAACTTAATGGGAATGGAAAAAGAAGACGAGCCAGTTTGACATTAAAAGTGACAGTCTATTGGCTGTGCTAAAAATAGCTTCGGCAGCACAGTCAAAATGGCCCTGGACATTAATTGAGAAGGAAAATTTTTATTTTTCCTTGTCGGTGCCAGAGGACTGTTAAACATGTCGTCGTCTTTTAAATGTCACAGTAAATGAAAGTGGCATTTTAAAGGCTGGGTGTGATTCTGTAAATTCAGTGGTTGTTTTGTTGTGACCTGAAGGGCACATGCTTAGTTATTCTACTCTGCATCTTCATGAACATTCCTCTAATCACAACTTCCTCTGGTTGATTAGTAACATCCTGGCTTCTGTGATTTTGATGACAGAAAGTTCCTTAGAAATCAGACCAACCACTAAATTCCTCCGTTCTTTCTTCCCAGTCCTGTTCAACATGCATGACACAGACAATGATGGCACCATCACTCTGGTGGAGTACAGGAAGGTAAGACAATGTAACCATGCCAGCCTTTGTCTGAAGTATATCTGATTATGTGTCTCTTTATACTTTGACATAACGTTGTTTCTAAAAATTAACTACACATTTGCAATGGAGTGTAAATAAATAGTAGAAGTAGATAAAGAGCGTCCCATCCTTCCTATGAATTCAGCCTTTTGCTTAAATAAAACCCCTCAGTCTAGTACAGTGTAACACATCAAACAGCCATCTGAGCACCTGAACTAAATTGGACCCAATTGTACTTACTTTACTGATTATATTGCTGAGGAAGTACGATGGAGTTGTACTGGCAACATGATGTCACAAAACTACATGTATTTTTTTAAATTATTAGGCTCAAGTTGTCCCACCCTAACAGGTGCAACCGAGCTGTAAGACTGCACACACCATACGGTTCTGAGAAGAGGTAGGCCTATAAAGCTGTAAAGCCAAAATAAGTGAGGGTGGATCGTGGAGGTGCAGTAGCTTTTAAATGTTGTAGTTACACTAGCAGTTAGCTAGCAATGAAAATACAATAACAAGCTCATAGGCCCTATGTTGCTGTTATCAAAATATATAAATGCATTAAGTTGGACTTGCATTGTGGAAGTGACATTAAGGACTCTTGTTGAGCAGTTTCCTTCAAACCTAACTCGCCCCTTTGTAGTGCGACCATGGAAATATCACAAGAGGTACATATAAGTATCACGTGGTTCACTCCAATGGTGTTTTAACCTTCAAAGTTCCAATGACGTTGCACTTTAGGACATCTTGGTTAAAAAAAAACATATTGCTTCCTTAATTTGAGGAGAACAGAATGTTGCAATGGACAGCAGTGCTGGGGTGAAGTTACATTACTAACAGCATTACAGGTTTCATTTTAGATGGAAGAGTTAAAGGAGCGATGACAGAGATAGAGTTAAATCCAAATAATTTTCCAAACATCAGTGAGTGAGCACTTGTCTAGACTGGAGAACACTGAACAAACAACTGGCTTTGATGACTTCATGCCAAAGACTGGTTGAGTAGCTAAATATGTGCATGCTGTACATACAGTAGTTCACCAATGATGTTATTTGGAGCCGTCAGCCTCTGAAATTGTCACATGTAGCTTGAAGGCTGACGCTGTTTAAACACCAATTAGGGTTTAAAGACTAACAATGTTGTTCTCATCCAAGGTAGTAGAGGAGCTTCTGTCAAAAAGTGGAGACATTGGGCAGGAAGCTGCTAAGGCGATAGCAGATGCTGCCATGTTGGAAGTGGCGAGCACAAATGTGCCTGACATGGTAATGGAACCAGAACTTGTAAATAAACTCTCACAGTGACACATCTGCAGCAAAATAACACACTCATTTGTCTCTGTCCTTTCAGGCCCCAGATGATTTCTATGAAGGAATTACGTTTGAGCATTTTGAACAGGTTAGCACTTTTCCAACTTTCAAAATAATCAAAAGGTCAAACTTTTTTTTAAGTCACTTAAAGCATTTTGTTATCCGCCTGCAGATTCTAAAAGGACTTGAAATGGAGTCCAGGATGCACATTCGCTTTTTGGATGTAAACACCACAACAATGCGTTGTGGGAAATCCACCTCTTGAAGGAGTTGTTCTTGTAAAGGAATGTTTATGTTGCTGCTGTTTTTAACAGAACCTCTAGTCCTTGAATGGAATTAAGTTAATTAACACTTTGATATGCACTAATCTATTTTTTTAATGGAGGGAAATAATTATAGACCTAATACCATACTGTAAGTATATTTTTATACAGTCCTTCTTCTACAGTTCACTTTTTAAGCCCAAATAATTAAGTTTGAGAAAGTTAAAAGCATTGTAATGTACGAGTAGAAAGTCTCACATATTTCAAAGAGATTTATTTCCCAGCTTTTGTCACACTCCTAATAATATGATCAGGTTTCAAACTAACACTACCTCTTCTCCACTCCCCTGCTATTCTACAAATCTTTATGTAAGCAGCATGTAATGTGAAGTATCTCTGTACTTTTTGTCAAAAGGTTCACAATTCAGATGCAGTCAGTCATGCTCAGTGGCCGCTCTGGCATTTATGGGTGATCAGTTATAGCTGACATCCAAAGAGTGAGAGACTGCAGGCACATACCATTCCTCTGCAGCTCCAGAATAGTTACAGAGACTCTGTGTAACCAACCACTGCTGTTCTACCATGAAAATCAGCTATCAAATAAATGAAACACTTTTCCTATGGTTAATTATTACAGACTTGTACAAATTGTATTAATGAATAAAAAATTAAGACATTATGATAAAATGCCTGAGATGTTTTTCAGAGAAACTAATAACAAATATGCAAAGAAGAAATGAATGAGGTAGAAATATATATTTTTTTTATTGCTGTGATGTTGCACAGCAGCACTGAATCAAATCCAGGAAGCCGAACAATTAAAAATCCATAGATGTTACAGTATTGGTTTAAAAACTGATGATCTTGTGCAACATCTCTGCAGCTGTATTCAACATTGAAAATACTTTTGCAACAGTTACAGGTAATATACAACAAAACGTTACATTTCCAAAAAGCTTGATTTAACAAGGACGATAAAAGAAAAGTAATAAAATAAAAGGACAGTTTGGAGAATCTAACTGATAGGGGGGGGTCCTATTGTCCGTTCAGTCACACACTGAGCCCAGTTGCACTTTGGAGAACTGCATGTCAGTGGGATGAATGGGAACCAGACAGCCTGTCATAAGGCACCGTGAGGCCGATGTTGTAGTTGTAGCCGTAGGATTCAGTGTAGTCGGACCTGCAGATGGGCAGGATGTGCTCCTGTGACAGCGCATTCTCAGAGAAGTCGTAATGGCAGATGACCCCCCGGTGTCTGAAGGATAAATAAAAACACTTGTATCAGCAACAGAGGTATTTAACGTACTTTACTTGCTGGGATATTGTTAAAACTATATGCTTGTTAAGAAGAGCTGGATCATTCTGAAATTCAAACCAGTGAAATATGTGTTGAAGAGCCAAATACACAGATGTTTCTTTGGATTGTTTTATTTAGACCAACAATGCCTTTTTGCTAAGTCAAGCTATCCGGCTGCTGGCTGGAGCTTTATATTGACCGTACATACGTGAGTGGTATCTATGGTATTATCTCAGCAAGAAAGCAAATATGCATATTTCTCAAAATCAATCAAAATATCAAACTATTCCTTTAGGAATGTTACATAGTTAGCTTTGTGTTTATAAAACCTAAGGTACAGAGAAGCAGTCTAATGTAAGTGTCTCTGAGGTTCTGTAAGCTTGTGGGAGCTGGGGGGTGGAAGTAGAGAAAAGATCGAGGTTAAAAAAAGAAGAAGAGTGTGGGAGGAAGATCAGTGACCTGCGGTGAGCTGTAAGGTCATCGTCTGTGATGCAGGCCCCCCGCGGTGACTTGTCATCGGGGATGTTGGCTGTTACCAGGGTGCTGGTGTTGAAGCGTACATGCCTGACAGGATGCCTGCAGCCAAGACAGAAAAACAACACCTTTAGAACTGAGTATATCTATTTTTACTTGCATAGTGTTTATTTGTGCACATTAGCCTTTTTGTAAAAAATAAGGCAAATTTAAATAAATTACACTACATCTTAAAATATCAAAATTCTGATTTCATCCCTCACATGAGCAAAAAGCTGCACACATTCACATTTGCCCCTAATTTAGATGTGGTACCAAATTGGTTAAGCTAGATGTGACATCTTTAGCGGTTCGGAGGAAAGAAAAATCCCACCGGTTGTGCATCTCCCACAGCTTCGCTCCCATCCTCATCTCCCAAACGCACACCAATCCTTCGCCTCCGCCGCTCACGATCTTCCAGTCGTCCGCCTGCACCGAAGTGACACCCAGGTGGTGGGCGTACAGGGACGCCACGGAGGAGCCGGCTCGTAGGTCAAACACCCTCACCCTGAATCACAGCAGAAACAAATGCTACTATTAATTTGTTTAGAAATGTGATGCTTAGTTTTGCCACGTTGGAATTAGGTAGGTTAATTGAGAAACATGATGAATTATGTGTTTCTGTTGGAAATACAATAGTAATGTAAAGAAGGTCTTATATTTGCTTTTTGGGGGATTTCTCTATCACAGTAAATAGTAAACAAAGTGAGTACAATAGTATCAGTCTCCTCCAGTGAAATGTGGTAATTTTGGATTTCACTTCCTGCTAACAGAGGCGGAAGACTCCAAGGCCGCACAAGAGGGAGCACAGTTTGTCAAAGAGTTCATTCATTTACAGACAAAAGGACGCTATTCTCACTTTTGAAGGAACTTTTCAACATCCAGTCAAGAGACCAAAGACAAATACAAACTGAAGCACACATGCCAATGCAAGTTCCAGTCGTATTTGGCCTGGGATTAACCCAAATATCACATTATTTCATCTCCTGATATCCGGCAGCAGCATATACTTACCACTTTCACTGGATATGGGGCCAGGTAAAGACAGAACACAATTAATATAGAGAAGATATAAATGAAGTTTGACATACAGACAAAACACAAAACAAAATAACAACAAATTATGTATGTTAACATGACACTGATGTTACATTAGATGAGGCTTGAAAAATCCATCATGTTGTAAATGTTTTGCAACAGTAGATCAGAAGAAAAGGCAAAATAAAATATATATATACATACACATATATAAAAAACTGAGTTTAGCTAAGAGCAGATCGTGTAAGGGCTTTTAAACATCACACAGGTGAGCACAAATAGCAGAGAAAAGTGAATAAAGAAGACAAAAAATAAAAAAATAAAGTGTGTTTAAAGGGTGTGCAATACGCAATAGCGTACAGGTACAAATACGGGTCTACAGGCAAGTAGGCAGAATGAAAGTAGGTATAAAAAGTGAAAAAAATGTATGCAGTAAGGTGAAAAAATTTAAAATCTGACGTGTTTATAAGATAAAGAGTGTTTACGATGTCCGACAGCGTAGAGCTGATGGTACTTTACACACCGTGCAATTATCATAAAGTAAATAACAATTCAAACCACTGCCATCACTAAAATGACTAAAACTGGTACGCACACATTTCACATGTCTCTTGCTCTAAATGTGCAAAACAAATAAAAAACTGACTTGAGGATTTCACAGATCACATTTAAAACTTGTTGAGGTCAAAAGCATTCAAGTATTCATATTGTTTGTTGGCACACTTTGGGACTTTGTTCGCTATCACAACTGTATGTTAAAGGTCCAGTGTGCAGGATTTAGTGTCATCTAGTGGTGTAGTTGTTGCTTCACCCTCCCCTTCCAATCGCAAAAGAGCTTTGCCCCTTCTGGGCTACTCTAGAAACACAGCAGTTCAACATGGCAGACTCCATGGAAGGCGAGTAACAAAAACATAACGATTCCTATACTCAGGTGATTATACACTAATGGAAAGATACCTATGAATATTATATTCCTTTTCTGCCAATAGGTCCTCCTAAATGTTACACACTGGACCTGAACACTCAAGAGTAAATCCAAGATCTGGGACCTCTATAAAGCTTGTCTTGCTGAAAACTGATTTTTAACCAACTCTTTACCATGGTTTTCAGATGAAAAATCTTTTCCCCTCCCCTCTCTTTTTAATTTACTATATTTACTATTATCATCATTAGTACTACCATCATTATTATTATTATTTAATTACGTAATCCATGTTTTGTCTGTTTGTGTCCCCTTTGTGTGTGTATGTACACTTTACCAGATTTTTATCTTGTCTCTCTGCATCTCTCTAACTGTATGTATTTATGTGTCTGTATAACTGACATGCTGTGTTATGATCAATGGATCTGAACTGTTCTGTTTGTGTTCTTAACAACAAAACCAATAAAAAAGTTCAAATAAAAAATATGTTAATTTAATTAAATATTTTTTTAAATGAAGGATTTTAAATATAATTTTCTCTTTATTTTTATTTGCTTTTGTATTGGACTTGAACTATTTTTACCCATGTATTTATTTTAATAAATATTCTGATTTTAATATTTTTTTCAACCCTTTTTTCAAAGCACTTAGCTAAGATATTTATGATTATCTTTTATGATATTATGATTACTATTATTATCATTATTTAAGTGCTAATATTTGTATTGGTATTTATAATAGATAACTGGCAGTAAGAGCAGGATTTTTGCTTGCTGCGTTTTATGAGCAACAAAAGCCCAGGGGACCTTCAGCTCCATCTGTTGTCACTGTGGCTTTATTGCAGCTGAAAGCATCCAGGACATGACTCCATCCAGGCTCAACCTCCTTCCAAGACTTCATTAACATAATCAAATTCACTTTAGGGACTCAGACAGATTTCATTTCTGCTTCCAAATTTTTTTGTAAAAGAATCAGAGTTAAATGGGTAAATGGGCACGGTGGACTTGTTGTCTGCAGTTAGTTTTGCCTGTTTAGTGGCATTACGTGATGGAAGCACACGTTTAAACAATGAGGACTGAACATTACTGGCAGACCGCAGGGAACCATAAATCTAATGTTGGAGGCGGCTCCGTCTTCAGTGAGCTGTCAGTGGCCAGACTCCTCTTCATTAATCAGGAGGATCTCTGCCTAATAAGAGAAGTGCGGGAGAGGCTCGGATAACTCCAGTTAGTTTCCTACAGCTACAGGACGCATTAATCATTATACACTGAGGATTATGTTTGATGAAAACCTATGGTTAGCTAATCCCAAGTGGTCTTTGATATTCTATATGAATGATATGATATGATAAACTGTTACATGTTTTCAACCTGTGAGTTAGGACCACTTATATTCTTCTTTATTCCAAGATCAGAAAAAGATCAAGTTAAGAAAGAGGCCTGAATAAACCAAAGTCAACAACAGGTGAAACAAAAAAGAATTTGGTCATAAACTGAAGAATTGATCAAAGAAAGAAATTTTACCAAATGACAACTCTAGATGCAATGTAAGGAGATCACTAGGGTGAGTAGAAATCATCCCGAAGGGAACATGAATCCCTGTGCAAAATTTCATTTTATTCAAAATCACAAGCATGAGCCTTGTAGTGGCACTAGATGGTGGACCCTGACCAACAGACCAACAGACCAACATAGCCCTGCAGCTAGTGTGACTAAAGGACAATGGCAGGACAAAGTCGAGTCAAGTCCAAGACCTCGACAAAGTGGTCTCAGGAAGTGCGGTCCTGCATAATAAGTGACCATCAGCCACAGGTCTATCACGCACTATGTCTTCCCTCTCTCTTACTGTATCCAGTTTTGCTCTTAGCCCACATCTTTTCCCATCTGCACAGGTGTGGCCATCTTCCACACAGCCCTTATCAGGAGCCCTCATTTGCTCCCTGGATCTCAAAAAGAAAAAAGAAAAAAAACACAGGGACAAAAATCATTTGGACAAAAAGAAGGGATGCATTAGGCTTTGGCCTTCAGCCACCCTGTCAGAGGGCCAAGATTGCCGACTGTCCTCAGTCTCCACCATTTCCATTTGTCTTCAACTGTGCACTGCATCAGCTGGGGCCAAAGTGGAAGAGCCAAGCTGGTGTGTGAATCTCTCTGAGCAACACTACACATCTATCAGAAAGCAAAAACCAGAAGTAAAGCAGAAAGGAATTGGAATAAGACCAATGCTCTGGCAAGAAAACAACCATTTCAATTCTTCAATCAAAACAATGCTGAACATTTTTGTTTGGCACTTGAAAAACATCTTTAACAGAGCATTCTGTTTTACGGTTGCTGAGAGTCATAACTGGTAAGGGGGGGGGGGGGCAGAACCTAAACAATATGATATGGTCTGTCTTCCGCTTTAAGCCAAATACTTAACAGCCAGATGGATTTGGTGCTGAATAGAAACAGCGGGGGCAGCTTTGGACAAAGACGTGCCAGGCATTTTTGTTTTCCTGCCAGCTTGTGCACCGCAACACCCGCTAACAAGTGCAGAATAGATGAGAATGGCTCTTTTATGCTTCTTTCCTCATCTGGAGAGCCAGGTTAGCGATGTGGCAAGTGTGTGTCCATGCATGGATGTGTGTATTGTTGCTGGATGGGACCAAGACAGATGGATTTTTTCAGATTGTTTTTTTCTTGTATAGCATCCCAGGTAAAAGAGGAGACAGGCCGACATCTGTATTCAACTCAAAGAACAAAATGTCTCACATCTGATCATTGTAGTGACTCTGTCATTCTTTTTTTTTTTTTTAAATCAAGCTTTTGGGTTTCAAGGCAACAGAGAAGTGTCAATAATGCAGAATATTGAATTGAATAGAGTTTTGTCTTTTCACACACACTTTCCTAACACCTGTTCTTCACTACAAGTACTGTAGCCCCAGCTTCCTCCTTCAGCCTCTTTAATCAGGTGTCACCATGGGGAAACTATTCAACAGGCTTGCCTTTCAGCTTAAGTTCTTGGCTCCATTTCAATGGTTTGTGACATCTGAATAAATCCTAGAGTGTCAGTAGTGAGAGATTTTGTCCTCATGCATGATCTCCATCTCCATCTGAGTGAAAGTGTGTGTTTTTTGTGCAAGTGTCCTACCTCCTGTCTTTGTTTCCACACACCAGCAGGTGAGCTGGAGTGTCTCTCAAGTTGATGCAAGTGAAATCTCCCGGCGAGTTGCCAACACAAACCACAGGCTTGCCCGTCTCTAGGTTGTAGATGTGGATCTGAAAAGTGGTTATTAGAAATATTAAGTTCAGTCAATCTCCGAACGCATCATAAAATCACCAAATGTATAAGCTCGGAGTATGAGTTTGAAGACTTAACTCAAAGTGAATAATGGGGACAACAAGTTTTAATTTTGGTCTATTGAGCTGGAGCCTTTAGCCGCAAAACAAGCTACAATGCAATCCTTACACCATCCAAGTATGTTCATTAAAAGTGCTTGTTTGTGCCACTGATCAGCAATGATTACAAGGACTACTTTATAATCCTTACAATCAGCTATAATCAGTAGCTCAGTGTTATCTACAAGATTTTCAGTATCATAGCTGAATATTTAGCTGATTTTGACAATGTGGATGAATTTGAATTTAGTGGCCACCCACATAGTACAGTATACGGATGAAGAGCTCCTACAAATTGAAGAGTGGACGAGGAGACCGAGAGAGAGGGGCAACAAGCAGAGGAGGGTGAATCCGCAGCTGCAAGGCCGCAAAACTCTGGAGACGGGTGGCGTTCCTGTGGGTGATGTGACCTTTTGCCCATCAAGAATATTTCACAGACCGGATCAAGCGAAAGGTACAGAAAACTTTACATTTTTCTGTAGGGTCCTTTCCATAATGTTGCCGGACAACAATCTGAGACATAATAACAACATTAGCTGGTTAGTGGCAAAAACAAACAACTTATAATGGACATATTTTGAAGGTGTGAAAATTCAAACAAGTTATAAGTTGCAGGTCGTTTCACGGCTGCAGGCTGCAGCACTCTCACTAGAATACATAGTGATAAATTCAAATTCAGATAAAATTCAAAACTTGTTGTCCCCATTAGTCACTCCACAAAACGCCACAAAAACATGGGTCCAGGTTGAAAAAAAAAAGTTAACGAGTTAACCTTTAAAGGGGGGGGGTTTACGTCGATATTTGGTGAGCCGTGTAGGACTGTGTATCCCAAAACTGTGTATGTGTTGCACAGTCATTGCAAAATATTAAAAATAAGGACGTTAATTAAGTGAATTACATTCTGCCCATGAAATTGGGTGACTATGTATAAAAAAGGGCTACAATTTATATACCACTCATCAAATTTAACATATACACAACATAAACACAAGCTGACAGTCTTCTCTTTTCATTACAATCCAATTTTATGGAGTACAGAGCTAATGCAGCAAAAATTAATAATTGTCCTAATATTTTTACTTTCTTCAGGATCTGGTATAGAGATTTTTCTATACTTCGTCGTATTTTCTTCTTTAACTCACTCAAATCCTTTTTTTTTTATCTTTTAATTCCCCACTTAAAACAAAAGTGTGTAATTTACTTCACTGATGTTGGACCAAAGTCAAAAGATACATCAAACCACAGCAGTGGTATAGAATATTAACTGTGATTAAATCATACAGATGGACAGCTGAACATGTGATGTTGGTGAACATTTCTGTACAACGCACAGTTTAACACTACACACTGAGATATAACTGACGATAATTGGGAATAATATATCACACAAAAGACACACATAGCTAACTGAAGTGATGCTTTGCCAGTTAATTAAAAACAAAGCAGCCCTTAAGTTTTAAATCTGGGGGGGAAGAAAATAAAAATCAGCCTAGAGGTATACTTCGGTTACATTGCCTCTGGCTCAACGGCTGCAGCAAACTTTCTTCATACAAGTTACAATGATGTCATCTGGAGCTGGTTTAATTGGTCAATTAGCGGCTGGTGTTTTCTCATCCAAATGAGACAGAACAAACAGGATAACCGCCAGGCAAAATTGACTTTGAATAATTAAAACGATAAAGAAATTAAACTGAGGGAGAGAAGGAGAGAAAGCGTGAGAGAGAGAGAGAGGTAGAGAGAGAGAGATGAAAGAGAGAGCAGGTGTGAGTGCCTGAAACAGCATTGACAACTGAAAGACAGTGGTCCATTCAGTGCTGCGTAATTGCCGTTACAGTGGCTGCTTGTTTCTTTAATTTCCTCTTTAGAGCGATACGGCAGCTCTTGTGTTACACATTAATTATGTTTTCTGGGATCCTCTCTCTGCCCCTCCCCCTCCCTGTTGACTGACAGCTCGGCTGCCTCCTGGCCCAGCCTGGCTCGGAGCAGAGGAGTGGGTGACTGAATAGGCTAATAAATGGCGAAGGAGGGGTTGGTCACACCCCACCCCATTGTACCAGCGCTGTCACGCCTGACCCTTAACCAAACACACACACACACGCACCCACACACACACACTTTGATGGCTAACAATGTGTGCATACAACCTAGTACGTTGTCACACATACACACGCACACACACCTTCACATCACCTCTGTCAGCCCTGACCCCATACCAAATACCCAGGCTCCCCCCTGTATCCAAGGTGACCAAATGAGGCCCCAGCTATCGCCTAGCAACCAGGGAACAATGAGCTCCAAGGAGACGGAATGGCTTGAGCAAAGGGCAGGCTATTCTCTGGAGATGGAGGGAGGGATGGAGGGATGGGAGCCGTGGTGGGGAGAGGAGGGGACGAGGGGTGATGGGAATGGTGTTAGGACACATCTTTAACCGTGTCACAAAGAGGGTGCCTGCCTGGGAAACAAGGCTGTGCTTCTCTAACCCCACTGGACGTCTCCGTTCAACTCTGCTCCAGCTCAGCTCACGCTCACAACTTGAAGGGAAAAAAACAATCTGACTTCTACCTTTTTTTTACCCCAAACTCCTCTCCACATCCGCACAAAGTATGAGGGGAGGCCGGGAGTAAAGCCAGAAAGGCAATAAGCAGGGAAAAATAAAACATTATGTAATCTGCTGTTTCGTTTTCTACAATGGAGACATCTGTCAAACATAGAAAATATCTTCGTTATGCTATGCAGACTGACTCAGGACTGACGGCATTATGAAAACTTCCACATTCAATCAGCAGAGGAAACTTTTAACTATTTCCATTGCTGACATCGACATCCTGAAGCTTTGACTTTACTTGTACTGTGAAAGAAACTTTTATCAGTCTTCCATCTCTCTGCCCTTGGAGGAGCGAGGGTGTTAACACAGATGTATCACCATCTATCAGCTTTCTATATCCAGAAACACAGGTAGGAAGGTGAATGAGGGTGAGATTGCCGAGGGGCCAAACACAGTACAACAACACTTTGCCAATTCAGTCTCCATAGAAACTATTAGAAGCTACACTATAAAAAGCAAAAAGGATTGAGTGAAAAGTCAAACCCGCCCAGATAACTCGCTCACACTGTAATCATTTCACTGAGGTATTTATCACATATCCATGTTTGATTAGACTTCTGCCATTATCTCCTGCCAAAGTTTCTGGCGGTAAAAACAAATTCTCTAAGAAGTCTCTTGTGTTCCTAAATTGACACTCCAGCACGCTCCACAAACCAAATATGAAAGATGTTTTACCAATTAACTCATGAGAGAGAGTTGAGCGAGGGGGAAGAGAGGAAAGAGAGAAGATATAAAATGGATAAAATGAGTGTTGAGGAAGTGTGAAGGGCTGTTGGGCACCACTCTGTTAGCTTGTTCATGTGAAAACTCTTTGTTAGCCATGAATGGCCTCCTCTCTTTTACAACAGCTTTATGAAGTGGAACCTGGGCATATCCCCTCTGATCCCAGTCCACTGCACACACAAACACAGACTGTACCTGTCTTTCTTTTGCACAAATTTACACTAATCAGTACAAGAATGTGCACTTTTCTCTGGTTTATATCATTGTAAACTGGATTTAGAACTCTTGGTGAGACAAAACATGCTATTTGAAGCCGTAGCTCATTGTGATGTGCCTTTCTAACTATGACATGTAACAGACTTAATACCTAATCAATCAATAATTAGAATAATAATTAGTTGCAACCCCAGCAGCGTAGCAGGCGTGTTAAAATGTGGCCAGGAAAGTGGCCTAATCTACAAGTCAGAAGTAATCCCTGTCTGTGGACTTAATGAAGGTGTCAGGGGGAGGGAGCAATAATAGTGTGTGGCTATGCGTTACGGATTAATAGACACACACACACATATGCATAGATTGGTTTTGGAGGATTTAACAGGGGTAGGGAAAGAGGATTTAAGGAGTGGCGATGCTCCTTCAGGGCAAAGTCAAATCAAAGAGCATCAGATGTTGTTCAAATATCCCTCTGTCGTGCTTCCTTTGTCCCTGGACTTATTCAGATGGCAATTTTATGAAGTGTTGACACTCTCAGAGTGCAAGCACAGAGTAGTAATAGGAAATGTTGTATGAGTTTGTGTGTCTGCCATTGATTTCTGGCCTACACCGTTGTCCTGCTTAAAGCATCTGACCTTCTGTGGCCTGTAAATATCTGGAAAGGTCTCTGGGATAATGTATTGGACAGAGGAATGCTATAACTTACACAGACCATAATGATTTGCCCTGTGCTTTGACGGTATTGTGTGTCTCTGTGTCTGGCTGGGACACTCTTGACTTCATGGGAACTGCCTGCATCTCCAGATCTGGGTTTGACCTACTACTTTTCTATTCTACATGCCACAATCCAATGCTAGTAATATCCATTCCACTAACCAGCACCAACAACACCCCCTCCAGCCATCGGCTTGATCTCCACATGAAAAGGCCTGCAAGCTCATTACCACAGCCTGGGGCTCATCAGGGCCTGCAGGTCCCAGGCCTTTTATAAGCCTGAGAGGATGGAAAAATTCAGCCAGGAGGGAAGGGGAACAGAGAAAGAGAGCTCATATAGGGCTTGCCATCCAGACAGCCAGGTGTTAAAGGTACAGATAAGACGCAGGGTGGAAGCAATAGAGGGGGAGGAAAGGGAAGCGATAAGAAGGTAGGACAAGGTAGATGACAGAGAGGAAGTGAGGTACAGTAAAAGGGAGCTCACAGAGGGACGAGGCTTTCTACTCCTATCTCTGTGCGGTGTTTCATCCTCCATAGGGCCCCAGTGTCACTCAGGCCTCCTCCAGCAGAGTCCAGCTTTGAAGTGATAATAGGGCTTTTGGCTAATGCTCCACTGCAGGTGCCCCTG